GAACGATACAGAGCTTCCAATAATTATGACGTATTTAAAATATTAGTACATTAACAATAATAAAATGCTCTAAATAATATAAATTGAAAATATATAAAATGACAGGGTATTGAAGAGCCAACCGCAGAACTTGTTGCGTAATATTATTTTATATTCTATCAATAATCACATTAAGTTGTTATTCAAACCTAATCTCGTCCAGATTTTGAATTTGCGATTTGAATTTATATTTTTAATTTATAATGTATTTATTTATATTATTAATTCAAAGAATTCAAACAATACGCTAAAAATATGCCAAAAATAGTGTTAACTAACATTCACTTCATATGTATACACATCATAAATTCAATATTTAAACATATTACAAACTTAATTGCTTCCTCGACTTTTATACCAACAATTTTTTTAACGAATAAATTTTTTAAAAACGAAATTTCTGAAATAACATTTTATAAAATTATTCAAGAATTATCGATTAAAACACTTTTTAAAGAAATGCTATTAACTAGAGAAGATAAAGCGTTTTCCAACTTCATCATGCATTATTCGTCACGCTTGCTTATCCTGCAAATGGCGAGATAAATCGAGTAAACTCTCAATCGAGTCGAGCAGATAGACAGCGTAGGTCAGAAGTTTAGAAAAATTCGGGGTTTTATAACGCGATGAAGCAGGCCCAGAAAGAGAGAGTTCCCGGCCCGTCGAACTGGAGGAACATAAACAGAAATAGGACAGGTTTCCAAGGTTGCATCTATATATAGGACGCACACACCCATACGACGCGCATATATATGCGAGGAGCGAGCCACGTACTATGGATTGGAGCGCTGTCGTAATCGTCGTGGTTCTCTCTCTCCCCCTCCCCCCCCTCTCTCTCTACCCTTCGTCTTCTCGCTCTCTTACCGGAGGTCTAGAGCAACCTACATGCGTACGCGGCTATACACACGTACGCACATCGCACACACCATGTCACGACGCCGCTCTATAGAGAGCAACCTACGCGCGACGAGAAAACAGACCAGCGGCGTTCATTCATGCCCTCTCGAACGCACGTCCAGAGGAGTTACTTTACGATACGCGGACGTGAACAACGACTCGCCTTCGTTTCCTCTACGACGACGCGACTCTTTTATATTTCTCTCATGCAAAATATACCGCCGAGTATAAATCGTCGCGTCAAGGAAAACAAATGTATTATAATTTTTGACTCTGTGTTGCGTCGCGTGACGTTAGAATCAGTCAAAATACACTCTATGTTTAAAATCTTACGAACATTAACCCGATTGATTGACCTAGAATTCGAACACGAGGGAAAGAAGAAGAAAAATTGTAACGTAATACTTTTTTTCGAACATAATGTTGTCGATGCTATCTTTATGCAATATCGTCAAGGTTAAGTAATTATTTACATTTTTAACGCGCCAACTTGAAATTGCCTGATAATTTTTTTTACGACAAAGTACAAAAATAAACTATTCTTATAGAAAGACCTTGTCATTTAAATAAAATTATTCTTGCAAATTCGAGAAACGTATAGTAGTTCGATACTCCAATTTTGATAGTTCAATTTTATAATCGATTATGAAATAATGTTGGTAAAATTTTAAACAAAAAATATTTCAGATGTTTTAACAAAACTTCTGCATCGTGAGTTAAAAAGACACCGAATTCATTTCACGCAAACTAATGTTCTCTTTTGATGTAAAAACTAACTACGGCGGCGAGTTAAACAAAGGAACTGCCGATGATCGCAGTACGCACAATATGAAACGTTAAAAAATTTTAACAAAGGCAATAAAATTCGACTGAATAAAATTTACCGAGTTCATTTGCCAATGCAACGTTTTAACAATTTCACAGTTTAAATTTGTCCAATTTAAAATTTTAGTGCAAAAAAAAAAAACGCGCAAGATTCATATTAATGTAATACAGATGCAAGCTTCTTTTCGAAGAAGCGAAGTTCCGATTAGTTTTAGAACATTCTGTAAACTTTGATTTTTTTTAAAACTTCCTACCCGTAATAAGATCCTCTTTCTTTGAAACGCTCTTGAAAAGTGGCATGGAGCCGCGTGCATATTTCAGAACTTCAGTGAGTGCGCGAACCGGTTCCGCAAACCCTTTCGCAAAACCGGCGAGCAACGATTAATATTAAAAGTCAGTAGAGCGAATTAATCGGCGGTTGGGACCGCTATCGAATTTACGCAAACTCCGGCGTCGTTTCTGTCCCTTCCCCTTCCTCGAAAATTCTTGGTGTGGAATTTCGCGAAACGACGAATCGAAATCGATTTGTCTCTCCACCATGTCCGTAAAATCGAATGTCGTTGCTACTTTGCGAGACCTTGACGTTTATTCGAATACTCGCAATGCGCAATACAGTTGCCATACAATTTCAACAGGTTTTTTTCAGGAGATTCTAGATAGTCTAGATGTAGCATAATAGATGTAGCAAACCTTTTATCTGAACCGAATGCCAACAACTTTCCTATTGACTGTTACTTCGATCATTTTTTTACTTGATGGCCTCACATGATGTAAGAATATAAAATGTTTCACTCACAAAATACGCAGTATTGAACAATCAGAAAGTTGCCACAAATGCAAAAAATGATATGGCTCCTCCTACGATCTGTGACATATTCAAAGTCTCACAACAAATGCTTTGAAGCGTTTGATTGACCAATTGAAAGAATTTTGAACAAATTGACCAATCAAAAAACGCTTTAAAGCATTTGTAGCACCATTTGCATTGACCGTACCCTAAGTTAAATCATGTTGCTACAAGGTTAAATTTTGATGACTGACTGCTCCAAATTTGACCCCATCACCAACATGCGCAACACCTTAACTTCTTACATCACGGTCTATCGTTCAATAAGCGTTTAGTAATCCTTTCATATAATGTAGTTATTAGAGCAAACATGGCAGACTTTTGAGCTACTCTGATACAACTGAAGCTCTAGCTCTTTTAACTTTCCCTTTTTTTTTGTCCCATTAAAGGCTTCCGCCTTATCCCTAGTCTCAAAAACCAAGAGCTTACATCTTCCGAGAATCTTTGCCATCATTTGGACACCATCTGCCGCGATAGAAATCGCGCGGTACGTTTTTATCTAAATATTTGGAGATCATAAAACGCGGCGAGCGACAAACTCGTAAAAGAAACGACTGGATTAACTGCGGTCCGGTGGAACGCGGTTACGTAACAAGGAACCAAGTAGCAAGTCGAAACCGAATCCAATTTTGCTGCTATGTGTTTACGTAAGGCGAGATTTATTCTTGTGTGGCCAGTGTTTAGAACGACACATTTAAAAATAGAAAATATTCTGGACTTTTTGAATTTCATGATTTATATACGAGTTCTCGTAACAAACTTGCTTTTGCATTGAAAAAGAACGTTCAATATTCAAAAGCGAAACTACTTATTAGTGCTCGAGTCTTTCTTAGCCACACCCAGTTTTTACATCATAAACATTAATATTGTAAGCAGTCTCTACTTTTTGCATACATTCCTTAAATTCCTTAAAATCTATCTATAAGCGATCTATATGTTTTCCAGTTTTTGTGTTTTTGTGAATTGCGTCGAAATACTTCGCTGGCGTCTTTCATTCTCACGCGTCGGCTTTAAGGTGTCGTCTTTCCCGGAAGACACACCCACACCACGACGAAGGTTTCGACGGGAAAACGACTCCCGACGCGTTCCTTCTCATCTATCATTCTTATCCGAAGATTCGGCTTTTCTCTCTCTTTAGTGAAATCTCATTTGAGAGTTTGCGTGAAACTAACGATAGCTTTCTATCTCACAATGTAAAAGTTTTATCCGAAGCATCTAAAAATATCCTTTACTTAACAACAAGAATCTTATTTTAGACCGTAACGTGTGAGAACACGATCAATACTATTAAAATATACCGGTCGAAGTTAGATCTTTTATGCTTAAATAATTTAATGTGAATTATATATATAATATATATGTACTTGCATATATACCATTTGTAGTCCTTCAAACTGCGCGCCGAATTGGTTTTCCGGATTTATAAACGCAATTAAACTACTGGAATAACATCACGAATTAAATTAAATTGGCATACAATTCTTAATAATCTTGATGATACAATCAGGCATTATATATCCTTTATTAAATATTTTGTTTGAACAGTATTAACTTGTCATTTACTTATGGTAAACAAAAAAATTTCAACCAAGTTAATGATTCTTATATAAAAAAATATGTATGTTTACATTTAGTAAATATTCAATTAGTATTATTGAAACAAATACTTAATAAAATTTAACATATTTGTTTTAATGTATTAAGAATTTTTCATAATGGACAAGATCAAATTGAAGTATCAAATTACTACCTTTCCTAAATTTACAAAAATTCGTATTTCAGTAAAAAATTCCTTCTACAAAAATAATTCAGCTTTGCCTGTTATCAAACAAATTTTGAGTTACATTAAAAACGTGAATAATTACATAATATCATTGATGTGCAATGTTAATATTAAAAAAACATAATATATTATCTTATAGAAAAAAAATATAAATATATAGATAAAAGAATGTTGAATAAAAGGGAAGATCCTTTTCTCCTTTACTTATGTATATATATATATATATATATACACACACTGAGAAAAAATACCCTAAATTTCAATAAATATTTATTTCAATAGTACCAACTAAATATTTATTAAATATAAAAATATATCTATTTAGTACAAAAAACATTAATTTGATTTTAACAATCACTTTTTTTTATTATGTAAATATTTATTTATTGTAAGTAAATGTTTAGTTGGCAGTATTCAAATTATTTAAATTTAGGCTATTTTTTTCAGGGTATATATAGATATATGTGTATACATATATATATATATGTATATGACCGCGCGCACACTTGTCAGTTTTCTTTCGGTTCCACAAAGAAATCCCCCGTAGAGAGAAGGATCAAATCTGATGACGTTTTTTGTTCAAGAGACCAATAAGAGAAGAGTACTCACCTCGCGCGATCGCTGAAAAAGTCGACCTTGCTCTTCTTCTTCATGATAGCCTGCGGCTGATGAAGAGGGCTGACGCTGGGTTCGCTGGTGGCCGGCGGCGAGCTGGAACCGGTGCTGGACGACAAGGAGCCGGCCCTACCGCGGCCAGACTCGATCATCTGCGCCTCGCTGGTGCCGCGGCCGTTCGCGGCGACGACGTGATTGCCGTGATTCGGCGGGCCGGCCGACACGGCCAGGCTCGGCCTGGTGTTCTGACGGTTGCGTCGCTTCTTCTTCTTCGCCTCGTTTTCGTCGGGGCGGTTGCCAGGCACGTTGCCGAGACCGGGCGGCATCCAGTCGAGGTCCTTCTTAAGGTGGCCGCGACCGCAGCGGCAGCCGCACGCCTTGAACGCGAGATCGTAGCCCTTCTTCGTCCAGAGATTCTGATGACGTTGACGCTCGGACCAGCTGCGAGCGCGGCCGCAGCTTTTCAGATACGTGAGTACCGTCTGCTCCCAGACGTCGAAGCACTCACGGTGCATGAACTGACCGACCGGACAATTGTCGTTATTGCAGGTGACCTTGACCGCGTCGTGCAGGGCGTTGAGGCGGATGAGGGTGTCGCCGCGCAGACACTCGCCGGTCGGCGTGCAGCAGCGCGTCGTCTGGCTCGGGCCCAGCAGATTATCCATGGGATCGTTAGTGCCAACGCCAACGCCCCCGTTCTCCAAGAGGCCACCGCCGCCACCTCCGTGGCCGCCGTTGGCGTGACGCCGCGGTGCCATATAAGGTGTCCTCTGCACTTCAAGGTCAGATGTTCTCTTCCGTTATTTCTCGGACGTCGTTCTTTCGTCACAGATGACGCCTCGCGATAGATTCGAGCTGTCGCGGATGGTGGGTGCGACGACGAACGCACGCTTCGTTCTAGCCACGAAGATACAGGCTTGTTTTCCTACTTGTTCATCTCCAGGTGACCCACCTCACACGTGTAAAGACACCAAATCAACCGATCTCGCGGGCGACCGGTTCGCACGACTCGGCGATATCCAAGGCGTCGCCTCGCCGAAGAATCAAGGTCATTCGCGTGTCACAACAGGACCGCCCGCGCCGGTCGCGCGATCGGCACACCGCGAGGGGGGAATCCTGCACGGAACACGACGTGACGTTCCTCGATGTCTCTATCGACGCGCTGGGGCATCGGAGTCAAGGTCAGGATGCTAGACCGCGACACGACACGACGCGTCGCGGAGGAAAAGTCTGAAATCGGAAGGTACGCTGGTTAACGTCCTTTCCTTCGTTCGTTCACCGAGTCACTCGACACACGAGCGCGATGTCGCTCCTGCGCGCGCGAGACGACGAGTGTCTCTCGCCCGCCCCGGCTTCTCGAATGTCAGGGTCAACCGCGGCGCCGGAGTACGCGCCGCCCCGGCGTACAACGCAATTTCCAACGGTGAGCGCGCGCGCGCGCGCGCGCGTCGCGTTTCACGACGGACCGCCGCGACGATTTGAATCGGCACACTTTATTAACGGTATACGCGAGCGTGTTACAGTCTTGGACGAAAGGGCATACACGTAGCGCTTGTCGACACCGAGGCTGCCTCACTCCCTCTTCCTCCTTCTCCTCCTTCTTCTTCTTCACCGCCGCCCTTTTTCGTTCGTCCTCTTTCTCTTTCTACCGCTCCCGAGACGAGACGGACGATCACACGGACGCACGAAAAACGCTCGCTCGCACGTAGGGTGCACCAGTCACTGAGAGAAGCCGGCGACGACAGCGGCGGACAGCGTGCCGGCTGCCGTGGCGCCGAACGCGGGCGAGCGCGAAAGTGAGGCCCCATTGGGTGAAAGCGAAAGCACCATGGTGGGGGTCACGGCTAGAGCGCCAATCGATGCGCGCCGTTGTCGCGTACCTCCGCGGGCGCACCACGGCCGCGATGTAGTCCCGTCTCCCTCGCGCTCGCGATCTAGTCCCCTGCTACGCCCGTTTCCCTTCTCTCTTTCTCTTTCTTTCTCTCTCTCTCTCTTTCTCTCGCTCCCATCGCGGCGTCTCTCTGTCCGTCTCACGCGCGACCGCCGCGCCGGGTACCTCGTTGTTATCGTCTCCCTCGTTTCCTCGCCGCGTCTCGCTCGCTCTCGCCTCTCGCTGCGTACCACGCCGATCACACACACAACGACACACGCGCCGTTTTACTTTTCGAACCCGGCCGGCCGGCCGGCTAGCCGAACGCAGCCCCGCGAATATAATTTGGTACTACGCACTTCGCCCGTAGTATGTATGTGCGTACTGCGTGCGAGTATACGTTTTCGCGATACGAAGCGGTCCGGATGAATTCAACGAGGAATTTGTACGTACGTAGTTACGAGGGTAACGCCTGAAACCCGTGCTTCATATTCGTGCCATACCCGAAAATCCTATACGCCATCTATCTAATATTTAGTAAATGCGACGCAATTGCGAAGTTACGTTTCTCGCTCGCGACGAAAGTTATACTCGACGTTAATGAATACTGACAGCATTAATGAGGTGAATATAAATATATCTATATTAATCTATAGCTGGAACCTATGGGTGGCGCTGATTCTGGGATATTTCTCTAATTTTTAAATGATATAATGAATTGGAATAATTTTTTTTACATCTTATTTTCTACAATTTTATTCTAATCATAGACTAGCTATTTATTGTATATTTATGTTAAGTTTAGGTGCTGCAATTTTTTACAATTGATATAATAATGAAAACTTTAATGGGTCCTAAAGATTCGCATATTCCTTCAGCGTCAAAAATATGTTCTTGTTACGAGTTAAATATCCTATAAATAAATAAGCATTATATTGAATATCTTATAAACATATAAATCATTGTTTCTAAACGTTAGGTTAGATTAGCTGTAGCTATCTTGAAGTTCAAAATGAGTTTTTTCAAGTTAAAAATTTGTAATCGAACAAATTGCGTAAATTACGTTTAAATGAGTATAAAATATATATGATGTTATAAAAGATCTATATAAATATCGTTTCATTTTGTGAGGTCTCGAACCATTTTAATTTTAGATAAGCTGACATTTTAATATACCTTAACGTCAAAATCTGCAATCTTCTGCTTCTACATCTCTTCGTAATTTTTTGGCAAACAAGCTTTACGGCGATGTGTTAGTGCAAGTTCCGACCGCCTGTTTCTCCTATCTTGTTCGTGTCCTTTTGACATTAGCTTACCTTCCTGTCTCGTTGCATATCGCGCAAACAATATTCGTGTAAGAGCTTTAAAGCCCGAATAAAGTGAAAACGGAGCCGTGACGTGTGCAAAAGGATCCAAACGACGCTTCATCCGTACGTAACCATGCAACACACAACTGGAATATGAAATTCGGTATTCTAGTGAAATTTCACAGTGTTCTCATGAAGAAAGCTTATTCCTCGTTTTAAATGTAAAAGTAGTACTAGAAACGATGAAGAAGATCATGTTAAAATGTTGCTTCTCTGAAATGAAAATATATTTTTCGCATTCTTCGCTACATCTTTTCATCATTATTTATTCAAGATAAACATAACTTTACATTTATTTTACAGGAATTTCAAACAAATGTACGTAAACGATCTTGTGTTCTCCGTACCGAGAAAAAGGAAGAAACGGAACGGATGATTCACGACGAACGCATTAAAAAAAGATACAAATGATACTTTCCACTTAATCGTCTGTGGGGGCTGTTTCTTTTCCTCGTTACGCATCTACGTGCCGTTGAAAGCATAGGTACGTCATAAATTCGCGAAATGCCACGATCGCGAATATCAATGTGAACGAGATCGTACTAAAGTCCAAAAATGAAGAGTAGCTAACGTTGAAAAAGAATAAAATCAATCGAATTTTATAAGAAACGTATCGCGTGTTGCATCAATATATTGATCAGACGTAAATGCAATCGTAGTTATAGTGAATGTAACTATTTTCTTAAATTCACTTGCTATTTATATTAATAAAAAATATGTTGAGAAAAAACTACAGATTTTCAAGCAGTGTGCGTGACTATTATTAATAGTACAATTTACTATATTTGTATAATTAAAAGAACTATAGATATATAATTATCCTAAAAAATGACTGTAATGAATTAAATAATAAAATTTTGGTAATTGCAATCATTTTTTTCTCTTAGTACCATAAAAACGTCTTTTTACACTCTCTGTTGCTATTTATATTAACTTTCAGAAGGCAGAGATCTATTTCTGAAATCTTACAGAGCTTTCCGTTTTGATTAGGATTTGTTAATTCATTATTTCATTGTATGCTTCAAAATATGAGTACAGTTTCAGCGCCACTATAGCTTTTTCCATCCTGTAAAAGTTAAAAATATTAAGTCCCTCTAATGGACTTTGCTCTATAATTATATATTAAACTCATACTCCAATTTTTGCTCCGATCATTGATAAAGTAAAACATTTTTTGCAGATTTCCTTGGACTCTCCAAACTTGTACGAAATTCGAATACGCAATTTCAACGTTTGTGGTTGTGACCGACATAATTACACGCAGAAAAATTCTCTCAGGTAAGTACCGACGAAACGTGCCGTTCCGCACGTTTATCGCTTCAACGGATCTCAATTTATGCTAATTGCATATTATGAACATTCATATAAGACGGACGGAATGCGATTAGTCAGGTAGGCCAGGTCTTTCGATGCAAATTTTAAGATCAGAGCGTCGGTCGCGTCACCGTCTTTCCAAACTCGTCTTTCTAAATACTATTTTCGATGCCTTCGAGAAAGAGAGAATCTGATATTTTTATTCGATAGAAATTTTGCTACAGCTGACGAAACAAAACACAAAAATAGAAACTAAATAAACCCCCCGTGTATCGAATGTATTGATAAAATAGTTATATTCAAAATTTTGATGTTATATCTGGTATTTGTCAAGAAATTTATATCTGCAAATACGCTGTTAAAATAATTTATCACAAATGATAAATCGGAGAAACATTGTCGTCTGTCGTTTCTCGATTTATTCTCGCGAACTCGTGTTATCGCAAGTGTCAACGAGAGAATTGCACAAACAACGTTTTGATTTAACATTAAACGTTGTTTATCGTATATTTAACTTATCTGTAAAAAAAAAGCGTCAATGACAAAAATTCTTTTTTCTTTATGTTTATTGTGCGAATGAAATATTTTTAATCACATACGAAACGGATGTATCAAAAATTTTTCTTAGTTTTTCAGTAGTTGATATTTTGCTAAGCTTGCCGATATTTTTATCAACGTTCAAACGTTCACATGCCAAATAATGATTCTTTCGTGAAATACTCTTATTTTCTAAGTTACTTTATAAATAAATGACATATCTATCGATTGAAAATAAAACGCAAATAAAAACGCAATTGATATCTAAACGAGATATTCTGACAAAAAAGTAATTGTTTGCATAAATATATCATACTTCTTGTTCTATCGTATACATATATGATACGATCACGATCGTATTAATTTAGTGTTGATTAGCAAAACGAATTATCAACACACGATATTTTATCACATTATTACGATCGTCAATTAAACTTTGCATAACTTATAATCTTAAAATATTTTACTCGTAAAAATTGACCATTTTATTTATTTGATTATTTCTTCGATTACGAACATATACAACTTTTTATATTTCTACCTATATATTTATATTACCATAAACTAATTGAATCGTATAAACTTTAAATTCATTTAAACACAACGCGAAATATCTTCACAAGCACACGTTTCCATATGTTCAGTCGTACGAAAATATAATCGTAAAGAATCGATTTTGTTTACCACAGTAAACCTCGCATGTTTGGACCGAAACTACGCACCAAGTCAGCTTCGCAACGACGGCAATGCGAAACGAGATGCGTATTAGATTACATTGCATAACATTATAGTGATCGTAAAGCTGTTAGGGAACTTGAAACCGCCCAATTCGCATATGACATTGATCCATAATTACGAATGTTGATAAAAATAATATATGCATAAGAATTTCTTTGGTGCGAAATCACATACACATTTTGTATGTGACATTGATCCATAATTACGAATGTTGATAAAAATAAAATTGCATAAGAATTTTTTTAGTGTAAAATCACATATACATAGTGATGAAGATTTTCTAATGCAAAATATCGCAAGCATCTTCAAAGATACATGAGTGATTGAAAATAGATTGATCTATCGGAAACTAAAGCCGGTATTCATAGTCGATTCTTATATTTGAGGCTATCTTAAGAT